AACATTCAAAGTTTGGAGAATTGTAATGTGGTAGAAACAGAAAAAAGAGCATACTTCATTGATCTATCAGTAACCAATGCTTGGATATTCGTAACACCAGTAGAATATAATGCTGCAATCATCTGCGGCGAGAAAGTGGAACACATAACACTGGAAAATGAAGGCATTCTTGATTTACAACAAGGCTGCACACTCAAACATTTTGGTGGGCAGTTATGGACCCAAAAGGAGGCCGGAGAGGGTACCATGAGCATAATTGTGCCCAAGATAAATGTTTCAATAGACTCCATGCAACACAAACCGCATTTGGTCAACTTTACGCGCACGATGCTATCCAACTTCACACAACTACAACAACAATTGGATAACATCAAGGAGCAACAAGAGCTCCCCAACAACATCGACGGTCATGATATTCATCATTATACAGCTATATATGTCATGATCGGTGTCATCATAACCTACGTAATATTGAGGAAATTGACGAAACGTAAGCCAAACAAACGGATGAGTTTGATATCAATGCCCGCAATACCGCAACCACTAGACGTCCCAGAAGAGCGCGACGTCACGGGGGGAATCACCGCCGCGGGGGAGAATGTGTAACGAACCGTACACAAAAGAATGCATACAATATAATATATATCATACAATTCAATACATACAAACAATTAATTCATTCATTCAAACATTATAATTCATGCATCAGCATAATGACCGATTTGACAAACAATTCATTCTTATTAAAACAGTTGCAATTACAAAGTAACCCAAACCTGTTGTGTTTTTATATTATTATTAATCCACAGCTCATTGGATAATAGGTAAATTAAATATATTATTCAGTGCTCGTATAATTTTGTGACGAGTATTATTAATTTTATGTGTTAAGTAACATTACTGCAGTTCCTTGATGGGAAACTACTATTCGCAGCATGATTTTCTTCTTTTTAAGTTTACATTTATACGCTTTTCACTCTTGTTTTGATTTATTTCATGTACACAACAGTTACTTGATTTGTTGTTCTTGTTCCTTTAATTTGCGTAAAAGGGTGCAAATGAATAGCAAAATATTTTTTAATCTGCTTCTTCGTGAATCTTATTATTTTCCGTTTTCTTATATAGAGTTCCGTTCTTGCATTGTCAAATAGAGAATTATGTGAATTGGAACATTCAAGTTTATGAAGCTTGCGTGCGTAATTTGAAAATGATTGATGTGGAAACGTTAAGAAAACTGTTGAAATAGAAAATATTGATTGGTTTTGCAGTGGATGATGCGCTAAACAGTGGTAACAGATAACGAGAATGAGCGAAGTGAACGAGAAAGAGTGTACTGTGTACCTGTAAAAGTTTAACACCGCCTTGTCTTTTATACAAACGAGCGGGCTATATTTGTATATTTTTACATTGAGAGATCCTTGAGACACATACAGAATTGTATCTATGAAAAATAAAATAATGGAGTTGGACCCTAAAATATTTACAAATTTTAAAAATACGTCTCAAAAATGGTGGTCTCAAACTTTTGCAAGGTAGTGTATATGTGTAGAGTATATGAAATGTTGAAAATCGTTTATTTCCGAGGTATAGTTTTTCTTTATGTGTATCGTATTTTGCCCGCACAATTTGGCTTTAACTTCGATGGCACACGCACACAAATCTTTCATTGCTTCTTAAACCAAAACGAATTTAATACTCGAATACACGTTATTTACTTGTTCAGTATGAAGAGGTGTAATGCGCTCAATAAGCGTAATGCTTTGTTTGCCGAACTTCGTATAGACAGTGCCATCTATATATAGAATGGGATATTATTTCACAAGTTTGAGAATGAGCGCATATGTTATTCCAAAAATTGTTGAAAAATAATTTAATAAATTGTTTCATTTTTTTGTTTTGAAAGTGAAGTTAGCACAATTAGCATTAGATAATTTCTATTTAAAAAAAACATAAATTTATATGTGTTTTAATTTAACTTAAAAAGCCTCGGGTGTAGAGTGTGTAGATCTTGTAGAAATGATATTGTTAAAATCTCCATACGTAAACTTATAAGTGTGAGGCTTTACACCCGAGGCTTTTTAAGTTAAATTAAAACGCATATAAATTTATTTTTTTAAATAGAAATTATCTAATGCTAATTGTGCTAACTTCATTTTCAAAACAAAAAAAAAGTCCAGATCTGTCATCCAAATCGTGCTTGGCGCTGATTTTATGAAAATAGAGTAATTTAAATGGCAGATTTGAATTCAGCGCCAAAAATTACCCTAGAAATGATGGTACATATGATTCCAGAAACATCTTCTTCATTCATCACGCTTTTTTCGCTTCAAAAGTCACAAAATGCAGGAAAAAATGCCATTTTTAAAAAATAATTTATCATTCATTATGGTTTGAATAGTCATTTCAAGGGTTTTTGGGGCCGCTGAATCCGAATCAAGCCTTGAAAATGAGCTAACAATTGCAAGAACGAACATTTCGCTACATTTCTTTGATTTTTTGGTCAAAAATCACGTTTTTTTATTGATAGTTGAATTTAGAGTATTTTTAATGCCAGATTCGGATTCAGCGTCCAAAATTACCCTAGATGATGACTATTTGTCAATTTTGGCACAGATAAATTTGAAAATTTATATATGCTCTAGTGGAGAAAAAGTCTTGAAATTACATGTATTTTACGAATTTCGCTGAGCCAGACCTCTTAAAAAATTGACCCGCCCTAATATATATATATATACTATATTATATAGTACTTCAAAACAATTGCACTGTATGTTTTATCTGCCAGGGTGCTTATGTTACTGATTTACCGTATTTCTTTCATACTCTGCCTTTTTTGCTTTGTTGATTCTGAATAAAAAGGTGAAGCAATTCAATTTCGGTTCAATAAAATAATCTACAAAATCATTGAAACATATTCATGATGATTTTTGAACTTAAGTTATGCATTTCAGAAGTGTAAACAATTTTTTGAAATTTGACATCCGCAATTGTGTACATTTGTGAGTATAGTATGTCACACAAATGTACACACACAGCGTTGAAGAGCAGCTATGCTCTTAGCCGAAACGTAGCGCCTACTGAGTAGCAGCTACTGCATAGGACAAACTAATATCTTAGCACAATGTATTCACTGATAAAAAATCCAAAAGGATATTTGGAAAAAATCCTTAAGCAAAATATTACAACAATATATTGTTTTAATATTTTACTTAAGTATACTTGAAATAATTTGTTTGAAATCATTTTGTTAGTTCCCGTGTAGTATACGGGCGCTAAATGGAAGTCGCAGGCGCTCTTATTTGCGCTTTGGAAGAGGAATGACCGAGAGCGCAAAATATTTTGTCGCGCTATCGAGGATTTCTCTTTAAACATTTTCGCATAAAGACACAGCAACCGAATATGAGTTATGTATACAGTACATACAGTCCACAGAGTCGCTCAATATCATAGCACACTATGCACATTGTGCATACTATTCATATTGTGTGCTATGTTAGTAAGTGACTCTGTCGACTGTATGTACTGTATGCATAACTCATATTCTGTTGCTGTGTCTTTATGCGAAAATGTTTAAAGAGGAATCTCCGATAGCGCGAATAAGAGTGCCTGCGACTTCAAATTAGCGCCCGTATACTACACGGGTTCTCATCGATTTCACGGAGCAAAGCAGAGTTGTCAATTGTAGCTAAGAGAGAGAAACAATAAATACCTTCAAACTTGTTGATACTATGAACTCCAATTTCACTGAATCCAATTAGAATCATTTGAGTTGAAATTTTTTGCCACGATTTTTCACGAAGATTTTCAGCAGTGAAGTGAACCGGTTTGACATTTCTCATACAAACCGATTTCGGAGCGGTATCTCGGAATTGGTTTCGTTTTGTGTGAACGAAACGGAGCAAGCGGAACGTTCCGAGAATGGTTTGTATGGCGACGTATGTGTACGTGAATAGCAATGCACACTAATAAACGTACAGCCATTGCACGGTCGTGTGTATACTGCACAGTGTAAACCATTGTCGGAACGTTCCGATTGCTCCGGTTCGTTCGGTAAGTAAAACCAATGAAATGGTTTGGTTTTGGTTCACTTCACTGATTTTCAGGAATGAATAAAGAGAATAACAGGTCATGCTGTATATTAACAAAGTATTTTTTTAACCCCTCAACCATGGGAGCGACGTGAAAAAACTTGACATCAGCGCCAGTCCCTCATAACTAAAAATGGTACAAATTCGCAATAGATGGCGCTTATAAATCGACAAACACGCTTACATTTTATTAGAAGAAAAATGTAAAATATTGAAATAATTTTAAATTAGTTAAATTTAATTGATGTGATTCTAGTGCTTCTTTTGTTTTCAATGGTTTTTAATGAATTATAGAAAATATCAAATGTGATATTTGTTGTTTCGATATGTCGAAAATGTTGTATTGGTTGATTGTCAAAATGCACAGAATTTTTCGGGAAGAAATTTGTTTAGATTTATAATTTTATAGAATATTTTATGCACTCAATTTATTTTATCATATATGATATCTCAGTGTGCCTTTGTGCACATGTCTTATGTTGTCTGTCAAGCTATATTGCGCATGATACACAACAGTGTCGAGTGTAGTATACACTATACGATATACATGATGTGAACTATAGTCAACACCGTTGCGTGTGTATCTTGCCGACAGTCAGTATAGCATAATGAAATATCATATATGATAAAATAAATTGAGTGCTTTAAAATATTTTATAAAATTATAATTATAACTAATTTCTTCTTGAAAACTTCTGTGCATTTTGAAAATAAACCAATACAACATTTTTTGACATTTCGAAACAACAAATATCACATTTGATATAGTACTTTAAAACCATTATAATCAGAGAAGCACTAGAAGGCACTCCATTTAAATTTATTTAAATTAAAATTATTAAATTAAATATTTTGAAAATATTTCAATATTTTTCATTTTTCTTCTGATAAAATGTAAGTGTGTTTGTCGATTTATAAGCGCCATCTATTGCGAATTTGCACCATTTTTAGTTAAGATCTTAACTTACTGTTGTTTGAAGTTGGTAGTGTTTCGTTGATTTGAGAGATACAGTGGGACAATAATAGACATACCTTTGATAAAATCCACAGCCATTTCCAAACCGTAGGTATCTCTGAAAAATGTGTACGTATTAAATTTCTCTAAGTTATAGCTGCAAGCTATTGATGTAAGATAAATGTTGCTGTAGTTTACATCTGACACACAAATATTTACCGATCACAGTCATCAAGTATTAGTCCACCCAAGGTGAAGTTTGGTAACAATCCGATTTCATTAATACGATCCAATGTATAAAGCATTACTTCGAGCGCTTGAATGCCTCCTTGTGGCATTATTGATCCGCACATCAATGATTCTTCACGTGAATGTACCATCATTAATCCGCCCAAAACCACGTCACCTTCCACTATCGCTTCCTTTTTCACCTGCAACATGATCAATGAATTTTACCGGCCAAAAAATCATCCATTGTATAAAAAATAACATTTTTACCGGCCAATTTATGGCTAGATTTTCCGTTTCATTGGAAACATATTTTCGAGACGACGATTGTATTTCCAACTCGGCCCGTAATTTTGCTGAAATATTATCATTGTTGCCATAATAGTTCTGCTGATGATGCACTTGAAGAGGTTGGTACTGATAATAATTATGATGGGATCGATCCCATCGTTTTTCATGCCTTCGTCGTGTCTTGGGTGGATTTTTTATTTTATTTTTCATCCATTCGACAATATTATCATTGACCCCATTCAAATTGTGCAGATGTTTATGATCCTCGATATGATGTGGTACAATCCGTTTTTTTTTTATTTTTTTTTGTTGATAATAATCGCTATAACTGTAATGATGATTATGATGTTGTACATTTAAATTCTTTGTTGGACGAGCTCGGATAGCATAATTTTCATTCATATTATCAATTTCCGAAAATTCATTGATCGAAAGATGTGTTAAATTTTGAGAAGGCATTAGAGATGATAATTTTTGTGTGAATGAGGAGGTTGCTCCTGTTATTGCTGCAATTTCACTGATACCACAAATAATCACATAAAAAATTATCAATATTATTCGCATATTCAAAATACATATTAACGAATGTTGATACATAGTTATCATCAAATTTTCCGTCGTCCAAATTGTACGTATCGCATGCATTTAATATCACTAAACTCCCGTTTTTTTTTAATTTCAAGGTTTGCTTAACTTAAACAAGTCAAGTTCAAATCTCAACAGATATTTCTTTGTTCCGATAAAGAAATTGGGTTCAATCGGCGATTTTCAATCACTATTTTCAATCACTCTTTTCATTTTTACTATTGAATTGTTTCCTTCGAGTTTTTCCTTTCGGTTTCCTTTATATGGGATGTGTCCCAGATACCAATTTTTTGATGTTTCAAATTTAGTTGTTTGTTTGAAAAGTAAGTCGTCAATTTGTCGGTGACAACTTATTCAGACATGATTTCAAAGATTTCTTTTTCCGTGGTCTTTTTCTATTTGATCAATAATTTGACCAACAAAGAGATTTTTTGTTAATTACGATTTTCTCGTACTCATATAGCTAACATAAATTCAATGAATAGTACCCAATCATTTTTTCCTTTTCTGTATTCGTGTTCTTCCTTTGACCAAGTTGTGATTAAGTTAACTTTTTGTATAATTTTATTTTGTAATTCACTAAACTACGTGTTCAAGAATGTAGTTTGACGTTTTATGCACGTGCGATGATTTTGTTTGGGTAGCAGGGAAAAGTTGCCTGACAAGATGAATACTGTGAATTTACATAAATTGGTTTTCGTTGTGTACTCTCTAGATGGAAATGCGCCTCCAATTGGATTAACCATTGGTTGTTTTTCTTCTTTTTGTTTGTGCGTACACTGAACTTTTGTGCATGCTCTCAAAACTGGTGAATCGAATAGAAATATATTTCGATTACTCGAATTAGTATAAAATTTGAAACCTTTTTCTAACATAAGAAAACACTATGAATAATAATTTTTACTTTTTTTACAATTCATGCTTTTGTTTACTAATGTCAATAGCAAATTAAACAATATGATATTTTGTTGTGTTATAGGTGTTTACTTTGAATATATGAACAATCTGCCAGATATCTTTTCTCATTCAAAATATGTAATACATATTGGGTGTATCGATTAATTTTTACCGCTGACTGTTAGATGTCGCCACTTAAACTTGTATGAAGTTTGACAGGTGAATCCAATTGCATTTTGTACATGTGACATTTGCCACTCTAATTCAGAGCAGAAAGATTTATTTTCGATACAGTGTCATTATTTTTGAACCGATTCAAAATGGATCGTTATCGAGTATCACTTACAGTCGGCTTTCAACGCGACTCGATTTAAGAAGCGCCATCTCTTTCACGCCAGGTTCTCATATATTTTTTTCTTGCAAATATTTTTTTCTTGCAAAATTGTATAAATTGAATAAGTTTTGCAATAATAATAACGAAAATAATTAATAGAATTTATAATAAATAAAAAAAAATGAAAAAACACACAAATATTTTATATTATATGATTCACCAGAATAGCTTCACTTCGTGTTGTTTACGTTATTTCTTTTGACAGATATCAATGTTTGACAAATACATATTTTCTCCACGTAACCATCTCTACATGGTTTACAAGGCAAAGTCTACAAGGCAAAGCTACATATCATATAATATAAAATATTTGTGTGTTTTTTTCAATTTTTTTTAATTATTATAAATTCTATTAATTATTTTCGCTATTATTATTGCAAAACTTATTCAATTTATACAATTTTGCAATTTTTTTTGCAAGAAAAAAAATATATTAGAACCTGGCGTGAAAGAGATGGCGCTTCTTAAATCGAGTCGCGTTCAAATACATTGTCAATATACAACGCAAGTGATACTCGATCGTGATTCTATGTTTTTCCCTGGGGTCCTTTTGTATTCGATTTTTTCACTTTAAACAAAGTGAAATACAACAAAAAGTTATGCAAACTTGCGGGAGATGAGACCTCTCAGTTGCCACAGAGAAAGTTGAATTTGGTGAAAAACAAGTGGTGAATTTGTTGAAAAACTAGAAACTGAGAAACCACTAGAAGCATTATATTTTGATATCAGTAGTTTTAAGTCATTGATGATGAGGCAAGGACAAAGAAATTGGATGCCACGCGAATTGAAGCCAAAAGTCGTTGTAAGGCGTTTCTTCACGTTTTAAACACTGCTCCAAAGATACGAAAGGAAGGAATTTTTGTATCGTATTGTATCTGTAAGTGAAGATGGCATCTGCTGCGGCAACCCCAGGCGTAAAAGTCAGGGTTTAATCCCGCACAATAATCAAAATAGACAGAATAGCCGAATTTTCATGGTTTCTCGGTAGTACTCAGTATATGACGGGATTAAAGGAATGTGATGTATTATGACCTGCCGAAACTTGGTAAAACCGTCACGTGGGATTCGTATCAACTACAGCCAATACGTTTGAGCAGAGTACTGAGAGAAAAATGGCAAAAAACTGTGACACAAAATAGTCGAATGATTTTTCAAAATTTGATATATTTCAAACATCGATAAAAAAAAGATAGAGGACCCCGGTCGGGATCAGCTTGATCAACCCGCGTACTCTCCAGACCTTCCTCCTTCTGATTATCACTTGTTCCGATCGATCAAAATCAGCCTGGCCGATGTACGCATTCAAAATGTTGAAAAAATGTGAAAATGAGTCGATGACTGGATAGCTTCAAAAGAAGAAGACTTCTTTCGACGCGGAATCGACATGCTACCAGAAATATAGCTAGAAGTCATAGCTAACGATGGGCAATACATTGGTTAAAAAATATTGTACGGTTTCTATAAAATAAACTTACATTTTCACCCAAAAAACGGTAAAAATTAATCGATATACCCAATAGTTTTAGTGTGTGTGACTTAGAATTAATGATGAATAATTCATCAAAACTCAGATGAAGTTGGGTATTTTCAACAATTTATATTTTCCTCATTTTTGTCAACAGAAAGCATACATTTGGGAGATAGAGATAGAGAGAATTTTCATTCTCTCTTCCCCTACCATTCCGAGTAAAATCATCCTTAATATATGCAGTATGGTACCCTTCAATTTATAAACCTTTTGGGAATTCAAAATGTATGGATATTGTATATGTTTGACAAAAATGAATTTATTAAAATAGTGAATGAAGTGCATGACATTTCGAAATGAAATTGGATTTTCGGAACTTTTCGGAATGGTAGAACCGCGTCACGGGGGAACAATACAATGTGTAATAAGTAAAATGATAAATCTTCTTACGACTACAGTAAAAGCTCTCAATAATAGGCTCGCTTGGGCTAATCCAAAGTTTGCATTTTATAGGCAATACATTTTTGAGTAAACATTCAAAACATGGTTTTTATTGAGTTTCTTTCTCACACACATTACTGAATCTAAAATTCTGTTTGAGTGTCAATAATAAATCGGCTTACACTCTCCAGCAAGTCACTTTCGAGTATCTTATTGAAACCTATACCATTTTTTTGTGCATAATTTGTGCGAATTTGTGCATGCATTTTTAGAATTTGTGCATAAATGGTTGATGAGTTATTCAGCTTTATATTTTGTGGTGAATTTCGGTTTTGGATGCAATTCAACATTTTTCTATGGGCAAAAAATCG